TTTACTATTGTTAATCTATTTTTATGGTAAAAAAACAAAACTTCTGGTTGTCAAATTTAAAAATAATCTGTGTAATTTATTGATTAACCATCAATTAATTTACCACATTATATTGTTTGTTTAAAAAAAAAATTAAGGTTGAATTTTTTTTCTTTTGTTTTGTCTAATCACAGATACCTTGTGTGGTTTTTTTATTGTTTTATTCTTAAATTGTTGTTTCATTCTTCCGTGATACGTATCACTTCCGTATTTTCAATTTGTCTAACTCGAAGTTATCTCGTTCTGACTATTGAATTGATGAACAATTAGTTTCATAATTTTAATTGGCAACAAGCGATTATTTTTTTTATTATTATTTTTTTTCCACTTCCGCCAGTGTAAAATAATCAAACACGACTGTACTGTGGTAGTTAATTAAACGGGCGTGTTTTGTACACAGTACACAATGCCCGAGATAATTAACAATTGAATTAATTTTCTTTCGTTTGTTGCGATTAGGTTTGATTTACGAAATTATTTTCTAATTAGACCTCTAATTGGAATATCCTTTCACTCAGGACGGTCAATAGGTACTGTACCGGTTAAAAAAACCTTATTATTGAAATATTAGGATTTTTTTATATAAATTTGAATGATGTTAGATTTCAAGTTTGTCGAATATTAATTTTTAAAGATCAATTACAGTTTAACGAAGCCTTGAACTTTATAGTTTTAATTTAACGTTTCAACGTACAAAAATAGCTCTTCCATTAAAAATGTCCTTTCAACCGTCGAATAATTAATTGTCCTTGTACTTTAATACCCACGAAGGTGGATAATTTCTTTCAAAATCGAAATAATAAGTTATTAAAACTGATGTAGCAATTTTGAAATATGACGAGACAGAAATGAATCTTTCCATTAGTTCATGGATTTAAGTCCATATCTGTCAAAACAGCAAGATGCCTTTGGCCGAGTTTCAGGTGGAAAAGTACCCCGACAGTCCTTTCAGCCAACCTGACAAACTTCATTCGATTTCGATACGTTAATTATATACTGATTAGATGAAATGGCAGTTTTTAAATGCCAGCGGGCGGAATGCTTCGCTAGACGATGGATGTTTAAGGATTCAGACAAATTTTGAACAATTTATTTTGACTCTGTTGATCTTGAAAATAACAAAAACTCCCATGAAAATTATTATTTGGAAATCCTGAGATGCGGTCTGGTGTGATGTATTTCAGAAAAACATTTTTTTTACCGTGCCAACGTTTCAACCTTTATTGAGATCATCTTCAGGGCCTGGGATTTACAAACATTGTTTAAATTTAACAAATACATCTAGGTTGTGCAAAAAAGTGAATTTATTCAGTGCAAAAAATATTTTTATATCAATCTACTTTTGATATAAAAAATACTTTGATTGAATATAATAAATATTTATAATAAAAATTCACTTTTTTCCACATCCTACATGTATTGGTTAAATTTAAACAATGTTGGTAAATCCCAGGCCCTGAAGATGATCTCAATAAAGATCGAAACGTTGGCACAATAAAGAAAGTGTTTTTTCTGAAACCTATATCACACCAGACCGCATCTCACGATTTCCGAAATATGTTTTATATTAAATGGCAACTATTTCTGCACAGGATTAAATCTGACCTCGTGAAATTCTGAACTTTATAAATATTTATTCAGAAATCGTGAAATGCGGTCTGGTGTGATGTAGGTTTCAGAAAAACATTTTCTTTATCGCGCCAACGTTTCGAACTTTATGGAGATCATCTTCAGGGCCTGGTATTTACAAACATTGTTTAAATTTAACCAATACATGTAGAATGTGGAAAAATGTGAATTTATACAACGCAAAAAATATTTTTTACATTCAATCAACGTACACAGAAAACAAACACTTTGAGTGAGTAGAAATACTTTGATTGAATGCAAAAAATATTTTTTGTATTATATAAATTCACATTTTTCCACATCCTACATGTATTGGTTAAATTTAAACAATGTTGGGAAATCCCAGGCCCTGAAGATGATCTCAATAAAGATCGAAACGTTGGCACGATAAAGAAAGTGTTTTTTCTGAAACCTACATCACACCAGACCGCATCTCACGATTTCCGAATAATCATCGACTAACGGTCACTAATCACCACACATTTCCAATGAAAAATTTAAACATTAATTTATTTTTTAAAAAAAGAAGTGGTTAGTGCATCTGTTTTATATTTGTCACGCTCGAGGGGGTTCGAATCCCGGCCGATCTAAGGATTTTTAATTGAAAATATTTAAAAAAAAATGCTTTGATTGTTCGTCTGCGAAACACAAAGTGCAATTAAACTGTAAGACAGGGAATGTACTTTAAAGCTATAAACATTCCGTACATTCCGGAAATGAATAATTCGTTGGATATTTAAAAATAACAGATTTGATGCCGGTAACACTACGGTTTAAGAATCTCGCATGGCCGTTGGTCCGTCTCGTCTCGCTTTACGGTCATGGCTACACACAACACGGCTCTACTTCCGCTTTTACAAATTTTTTTACGTATTTTTGATTTTCAATTAATATTTTGTAATGGCAAATATTTCCTCAGATCTTCATTAAATGTTTAAGTCGGACAATTCGCTCAAAAATTAAACGTTTTACGTACTGATTTTTTTTATATCTTGGTGAATTCGGTCCGTTTTGTATCGCTACTTTCTAGTTTCTAGTGACTTGACCCTTTGCTGGTACATTTTACTGACAGTTTGTAAATTATTATAATTCATATTTTAGACTTTTCAGCGGTATTTTTGTTTAGTTTTGCTCTAGCAGTCTAAAGGTTCAAAAAAGGCCTGAAAATATGCCCCAAAAAATCAAATTATAAACAATTATATAAGGCAATTATGTATTTTTATCAAGTTAAACGGTTCGAATAATGAAATACTGATTTTAATGTAGATCAGATGAACAGTTCATTGTCGGCAGAGGAAAAAAATTGAGAAGTGAATTTGAAGAATCAACAAAGCTTACAAACACAGGTAATAAGGACGCAGGAAAACGCTGGAGAATATTTGAAAAAAAAAGTGCTTTCGTGGACTTTACGCGACCGTGTTGACATATGGATTCAAATTTGAGTTTCTCCAGATGTGATTTTCACATGGTGGATTCGGTCCGCTTAGTCTCGCGATTTTTTTCTAAAGTAAACTGGCAATGACGTGTACACATTTTACACTTTTAACGGGAAATTTTTTGATGATTTGACGTTATGTTATTATCCATGCAATTAACATCAGAAATACTGCTTTGTATACAGATTACAAATTAAATTTTGGATATTTTAACATGGCGGACTTTGTTTCTTGGACATATCAAGATTGTATTGACTGATTCAAAACCCCTCGATTATAAAGTTGCTTGTAGAAATAACTCACTGGAATATAAGGTTTAAAATTCTACTGGTATTATTTTCACATGAAGGATTCGGTCCGCCTAGTCTCGCTATTTTCTCATTGCACACACGACAGTTAATATCAGATATACAAACGCTTTTTCCTGGCAGACAACAAATTATACTATTTGGAAAATTTTGTTTCAGGGGCTTTACGACTGTGACTAATAGATTCAAACCAATAAGATTATTAAGTCGAGAATTTAGAGATAAAATTTTAACACGGAGGAAGGAATTGGTCCGCTTTGTCTCGTCGCCATACCCGGCAATTAACTAGATTTTTTACCGACAGGTTACAAATTGTGCAGATTTTTGGTATTTTACATGGTGGACTTTAAGAGATTGACTGATAGATTCCAAACCGATTGGTTTTCAGGTTTGCGAATATCATTTTTAAGCACGGAGGATTACAGGGAGGATTTGGTCCGCAGTGTCTCGCTATTTTACTCGTCGTTAAACACGACAATTAACAATGATTAAAATATTTATTCAAATAATAAAAGAAAATATCGATTTTTATTGACAGGTTGCGAATAAAATTATATAGATTTTTATTATATCAACTTGGTACTTTAGTCTCTTGGACTTTACGCGACTTTATTGACTGATACATTTCAAACCAATCAATTAGATTAGGTCTAGTTGGACAATGGATATAATTTTTACTCGTCGTATTGGTCCGCTTTGTCTCGCGATTTTCTAGTGGGTACACAAGACAATTAACTACAGATATGAGGATTTTTAATGACAGAATACATAAAAAGTAAACGGATTTTTGGATATTTTAACTTGGTGGACTTATGCGACTGATCGTCTTGGTCCGCTTTGTCTCGCGATTTTCTACTTGGTATACAAGGCAATTAACTACAGATTTGACGATTTTTAATGACAGATTACATAAAAATTAAACCGATTTTTGGATATTTTAATTTGGTGGACTTATGCGACTATTAAGGTTTACGAATCCACGGATATAATTTTAACATTGGTCCGCTTAGTCTCGCGGCTGTTCGTGACAAGTCGGATAAAATACTGTCTTTTACTGATTGGTTACAAATTTTATTTTTTGTTTTTGATGTTTTAACGTTAATTTTGTCGCTTGGACCTTCTGCGACGGAATTGACTGAGATAACGACACACTCGATTAATGTACGGATCTAGAAATATAATTTTCACACGGTCCGCTTTGTCTCGAGATTTTCTCGTCGCTTGATATGTCCATTAAGAAAAAATATTACGATCGCTTTTCACTGACATTTTTTATTTGGCGATTCGTGAATGTTTCGCGATTGTATTGAATGAAAGATTTTAGTCGCTCCGGTATAAAAGTTGATTTTTTCTTTCTGAAGACTTTTTCTCAGAATTGAAATTGGTCGATAAGGTGCCGATTGCGACGTAGATGTCATAGTCGGTCCCATGTAACGTCGATAGGTCCATCATCCCGGAAATTCAATATTAATTGGAATTAGGCTCACCGTATGCGGAGTATGCAGCAGGAGGGGAATTACAAATAGAATGGTTTGCGGGGGTTAAAAATGGGATCACAACACTGAACACTAATAAACACCAGACTCACCGTTGGATCCTAGGGACGATGAATCAGCGGGTATGCCCGCGGAGTCGGTCCCGCTCTCGTGTCCGTCAGACTCCGGATCCTGTCTGCAGTGAAGGGAGAGATCCCTGGGTCTGTCGGGGCTCGGCGAAGGCTTGGGCGGCCCCCCGAGGATGTCGGTGATCATGAATCTGGACCGAGCTGCGAGGTGGTGAGGCATGACGCCCGCTGTCATGTCGTGTATCGTCATGGGAGAATCCCTCTCCCAAGCCCGTTTCTCAGTCACCGCGGCCAAAAGCTCCACTATCGGCGAAACGCTGATCCCACGGTGCGGCGAGTCGTTCACTCTCGACGGTCTCGAAGGGCACTGAGCCGCCGTTGGGACGGAGACGGACTCGGCCCGGCGGACCCCACTCGCACCGGGCCCCGCCCCACGCCCAATCCTCGCCGGCCGCCCTCCTCCGATTCAATTGATCAACACACGTAACTGGCCGAACTGAATCGTGGCTCCGCCCGTTTTCGCTTCTCTTCCAGGCCCCTCAGCCCCTCTCCGGCTAATCAACGGTTAACTCTGATTTCCCTCTCAATACGTTTACCTGCTTTTTAACTTCTCTTACCTCCTAATTTGTTTACTCACACTTCTTCTCGTTTAACATTAGAACAACCACTATTTCCCACCATATTTCCTACCTATTTCAATCTCCCACTTGACCATTTATTTGACGCTTGACCAACATTTTGCACCTCAACATACATGGATTCCGCACTAATGCTTTTTACACATATTGTTCATATCTTTATAAATATTTACCAACATATCTTTACTATTATCTATATTTTAAATACTACTATCTTTTATTACTAGTATACGTTGTTGAGCTGCGACCGTTTTGATATCACAAATTTATTGAGGATGAGGAGCGCAGTAACAAAGAAGGAATATTGTAACTTTTCTTACATCCTAATTTCTTTACCAACACTTTTTCTCGATTAATATTAGAACAACCACTATTTCCCACCATATTTCAATCTCCGAAATCTCCCAGTGGACAATTTATTACAGTCTGGACCGACATTTTACACCTCAACATACATGGATTCTGTGCTAACTTTTTTCACATATTGTTCGTATTTTTGTAAATATTTACCATCATATCTTTACTATTATTTATATATTAAATTCTCCTATCTAGTATGACGAAGGTNTTTTTTTCTTCAATAAATAATGTATATCGTTGTGTTTTTATCCGGAGAACCATCTATCAATTGATATAGCACTTGAGTAAAAAAAAAAAAAAAAAAAAAAAAACCACATTCAGTTTATCGCGATTACTTTAATATGTTCACAATGTAACTGAACTAATAAAGGTTTTTTGAGTTTTCCCTCCTTTTTGCCATTTTTCAAATGTCGTGTAATCGGATTGGATTCCCGTCGTATGTTATTACAGTTCTCAATTTATTAGTCTGGACCGACATTTTACACCTCAACGTACATGCATACAGTACTAATTTTTTCCGCAAATTATTTATATTTTGTAAATATTTACCATTATATATTTAGTATTATCTATATAATAAATTTTCCTATCTAGTATTACTAGTATTACGAAGGTATGCTGAATGGTCTGACCGTCTGGATATCACAAATTTGTTGGTGATGAGGAGTGCAGTCACAAAGAAAGAATATTGTCACTTTTCTTACCTCCTAATTTCTTTATGAACACTTCTTCTCGTTTAATATTATAACAACCACTATTTCCCACCATATTTCCTACTTATTTTTAATTTTATAAATAATTTTATTAAAGTTGTTAATTACTGTTAACTATTGTTTTTAGTTCTTTTAGATATTTATTTAGAAATCGTGAGATGCGGTCTGGTGTGATGTAGGTTTCAGAAAAACATTTTCTTTATCGTACCAACGTTTCGATCTTTATTGAGNTATTTCCTACCTATTTCAATCTCCCAGTTGACCATTTATTTGACGCTTGAACAACATTTTGTACCTCAATATACATGGATTCCGCACTAATGCTTTTTACACATATTGTTCATATTTTTATAAATATTTACCAACATATCTTTACTATTGTCTATATTTTAAATACTACTATCTTTTATTACTAGTATTACGATGGCAAGTTGAACGGTCCGACCATCTGGATGTCACATATTTGTTGGTGATAAGGGCTGTGGTCACAAAGAAGGAATATTGTAACTTTTCTTACCTCCAAATTTGTTTACTCACACTTCTTCTTTTTAATAGTGGAACATCTAATATTTCCCACCATATTTCCTACCTGTTTCAATCTCCCACTTGACCATTTATTTGACCCTTGACCAACATTTTGCACCTCAACATACACGGATTCCTCACTAATGCTTTTTACACATATTGTTCATATTTTTATAAATATTTACCAACATATCTTTACTATTATCTATATTTTAAATACTACTATCTTTTATGACTAGTATATATTACGTTGTTAAGCTGCGACCGTTTGGATATCACAAATTTATTGAGGATGAGGAGTGCAATATCAAAGAAGGAATATTGTAACTTTCTTACATCATAATTTCTTTACCAACAATTCTTCTCGTTTAATATTAAAACAACCACTATTTCCCACCATATTTCAATCTCCGAAATCTCCCAGTTGACAATTTATTACAGTCTGGACCGACATTTTACACCTCAACATACATGGATTCTGTTCTAATTTTTTTCATATATTGTTCTTATTTTTGTAAATATTTACCATCATAACTTTAGTATTATCTATATATTAAATTCCCCTGTCAAGTATGACGAAGGTATGTTATTACAATTAATTAACGATTTAAGTTGAGATAAAAAAGTCAATGGCACGGGCGGGATTCGAACCCACGATCTTCGGCTAGATAAGCCGCTGCTCTACCACTTCAGCTATCGTGACCTCGATCCACCCGGACACTAACTTCCCATCTCAACCCACCTTTTTGCCATTTTTCTCCTAAATTCTCCTATCTAGTATTACTAGTATTACGAAGGTATGCTGTATGGTCGGACCGTCTGGATATCACAAATTTGTTGGTGATGAGAAGCAGTCACAAAGAAGGAATATTGTAATTTTTCTTACCTCCTCATTTCTTTACGAACACTTCTTCTCGTTTGACATTAGAACAACCACCATTTCCCACCATATTTCAATCTTCGAAATCTCCCAGTTGACAATTTATTACAGTCTGGACCGACATTTTACACCTCAATATACATGGATTCTGTTCTAATATTTTTCACATAATTATTTATATTTTTGTAAATATTTACCATCTTATCTCTACTATTATCTATATATTAAATTCTCCTATCTAGTATTGCTAGTATTACGAAGGTATGCTGAATGGTTGGACCGTCTGGATATCAGAAATTTGTTGGAGATGAGGAGTGCAGTCACAAAGAAGGAATATTGTAATTTTTCTTTTTTGACATTAGAACAACCACTATTTCCCATCATATTTCCGACCTATTTCAATCTCCCAGTTGACCATTTATTTGACGCTTGAACAACATTTTGCACCTCAACATACGCGGATTCTGTGCTAATTTTTTCACATATTGTTCGTATTTTTGTAAATATTTACCATCATATCTTTACTATTATCTATATTTTAAATACTACTATCTTTTATTACTAGTATATATTACGTTGTTAAGCTGCGACCGTTTGGATATCACAAATTTATTGAGGATGAGGAGTGCAGTAACAAAGAAGGAATATTGTAACTTTTCTTAATCCTAATTTCTTTACCAACACGTTTTCCCGTTTAATATTAGAACAACCACTATTTCCCACCATATTTCCGACGTATTTCAATCTCCCATTTGACCATTTATTTGACGCTTGAACAACATTTTGCACCTCAACATACGCGGATTCTGTGCTATTGGGTTGTCCGGAAAATAATGCAGGATTTTAAGTTTTCATTAAAAAAAATCTATATAAAATATTCTGTTTACGTTTACAGGATTACTCATTTGTANTTGGCACGATAAAGAAAATGTTTTTCTGAAACCTACATCACACCAGACCGCATCTCACGATTTCTAAATAAATATCGATTAACGGTCACTAATCACCACACATTTTTTTAGATGTTTAAAAATGTTTTATTGGTATCAAATTTATGTATGACATGTAACGTAGGCCTGAGGAAGACAGTAAAATAGATCGAAAGTTACCGAGACATTACAAGCTTATGATTGTAAAATAAAAACAATTAAATAAATTATCTTAAAAATTTTTATTAATTAAAATACCCTCCATCACTCTAAAAAATACACTATTCCCAACATGATGGCAATTCTTATCCCCCTGGATAAAATTTCGAGTCTTTATGATTAACAAATTCTCTAAACGCATTTTTCAACGACTTTTTTTCAATCAATTTTTTATGTTGTAAAACGTTGTCCAGGTGTCTGAAAAAAATGGTAGTCGGTTGGGGAGAGGTCTGTAGGGAGGGTGTGGCAGAATCTCCAAGATCCAACAGTTTTTATGTTGTAACATGAATATGAATTTCAGACAATATGGGACCGAGTGTTTTCCTGAAACAGAATCTTTTTTTTTTTTTTTTTTTTTTTTTTTTTTTTTTTTTTTTTTTTTTTTTTTTTTTTTTTTTGTATCGCCAAGATTCAAGAAGCTGGATGAATCAGCCCACCAAGTCACCATAAACTTTTTTTAACGAGTTGGGTTTTTTCGATATTGTGATGCCGGTTCTCCTTTGACGAGCCACAGTCAGAACGTCTGCTGTCAACGTGAAGAATAATTTTCATCACAAGTAACAATTCTATCCAGATAAGGTTCGTTTCTGTTTCGGCAAAAAGTATTTCGCAAATTCCATAACGATGATATTTTTGGTTAAAGAGAAAACAAAAATTGGCCTTAACTAGCAGCAACAAACCCTGCATAACCAGTTTACTGATATCTACATCTTCAGGAAATATCAGTATAATAAATGTCTTTCTGGACAGTATGTCTCTATAATGTTTATTCGGATTTAAGGTCATTGCGATATTACTGGAAAGAAAGGAGGTAAAAGGCAGCACATAGTCCCCCGTTAAATGACGTTCCTGAAGATGACTTCATTTCGTTTTTTAAGACCAGGATTTGGACACTATGGTAACTCATAAATGAAAAGAAATTCTGAAAAATTAAGACTAATGTATATTATGAAAGAGCTCAATAAGAAAAGAATAAGTGCTAACTAGACTTAGGGCTCTGTACAATCACCAAGGGTCAGCTAACAGCTGAGGACCTCCCCATGTAACTAATCACCAAAATCTGCTCGATTGTACGATGTTGTACAAAGTATGAACACAATGTATAAACTTTATAGCTATGGCTGATGACGTGAAA